TCGAACCCGAGCCTCCTGGGTGAAAGCCAGGTATCCTAGCCACTAGACCATACCGGAGCATGTCGAGCAGTACAGAGAAGAACAATAAGAGGAAATTAACTTTGGATTCGGTTTTTTTTTCATTTTCTTTATACTTTGAACTCACTTTGAACATTTAGTGAGTTTTTAAATGATGATGTATGAAAAGTCATGATGAAGTAAAAATTATTATGTGGTAACCAGCATGTAACTGTAAGGTAGTACTGTTAGGTTTGACCCAGTTCCTCACATTCTGTATGATAATAATGATAATAATCATTATAACAATAATAATACAACATTTATAATAATTATTATAATAATAGATTTATAAAAGTCAGAAAAATCTAGGAAAAGACGTAAACATGCATTTTTTACCTTTTTTTAAAATTGAAGAATTAAAAAAAAATTTTTCGAAACAGTAGATACTTAATACATGCTCTGAAAAAAATTTGGGAGCATAGTTTGCCCGAATATCGCAGCAGGCTATGTCACTTGCTCGGTTTAGAAATTCAGAGCGCCTAAAAGTTAGGCAACCAACTCATCAAGCAAAAAGCTGGCCGTTTTTTCGGATACGCTGCAGTTTTTTCTAAGATGAGCGAGCGGCGACTACTATATGCGATAAAGGTACGCTGTACTGACGTTGGTTCGTTACTTGGAGAATTGAAATATTTAATTTCTATTGTCTAGTAAGATGAAATATCTTCTTTCAATGGTGCATTTTACATTTCGCTTGTAACGAATCGATGTCAGTACCTACAGTTTACACAGCTCTCAGCGTATTTGGACTAGCAGCTTACTCAGTAAGCCAGTTTATTTTCCAGAACTTTATTATTCAAATCAGGACGGTGTATGAATTTAATAATAAAAAAATGATACAATGATTTATAATACCATCTGCTATTCAAGTCTTTGGCAGTCTATTTCATATGAGAGATGTAAAATTAGATTTTCAACATACGAACGGGGATTACCTATTTTCCGTCAAAATTTTATGTCTTTGAATAAGGTTCTCATGTTCATAAGCAATCTTTAGACGACATTCTTCGTAAGTTTCCGGTGATGAAGATTTTCTTCTCAGAAACTCATCAAAAGCTGTGTACTTGCGGAAAATAGCATGATATACATAACCCAATGAATTCAGAAAACTTCCCATGTTTTTTTAGTTATGTCTGTTTGTCTCTAAGGAGGGGGAGGGGTATTTTATTTTTCGTAGTGCTATAGACATGGAAGTGGAAGAAAATAAGCTTCTGGTGGAGAGAAAACAAGATCGAACGGAATGGAAACGGATGAAGAAAGAGCAGGAGGAGAGTAAGTGCGAAAGCAGGAAGATCGCGTTGCTATGTAGTCATTGCCTGGATGGACGAGAGCCTTAAAGTCTTAGAGCGAGTGACAGAGAGTTTATCTAAATATTTGTTCGAAGCCGTGACCGTGTCGCCTCGGGTCGCTACTTCTCTACCGCCCTCCTCAATTCTCGTCGCCACTATATGTGGATTTGTGAGGCGATTCTGTGGAAGTTGAGTTTTGAAGCTTAAATCCTTCGTCGAGTGATATGCCAGAGAAGTCTTCCTCCTCTGTTTGATCTTGTCTGTTTTTGATAAAGCAGCTCGATATATTACATCATTGGAGCTACGAAAATATCCCTTTGTTCATTTAGGATATTGGATTAGTTACGATGCTACTCTTGTACCAGCGTAAAAGAGTTCTGATTTAATTTGTAATTGACATTTTCATATTTATTCATCAACGTGTAGTACTATGAATAATAGTTTACTTCAATTTTTTTTTAATCAGTTGAACAAAATGTAACATAAATTGTAAGACCGTACAGTCTTTACAAGGACCTATTAGGAAGTAGTTTCGAAAAAACTGGCTTATTACTTTTTAAACACAATGTAAAAATTGCATGATAATGCGAAGAGTTGCTCTTTCAGCGGGCGTCTCTTTGATACTCACGAAGAAAACGACTTCTAAAGACTTGTTTACTTTTTCACATGCACTCCAGTTGGAAGAAAGATGTATAGAGGTGAAGAAACAGAAAAGTTTAGCTCGCTTAAAAAAGCTGAGTAAACACAGACAGAAGGGCTACCTCCTCTTATCTTAGAAAGTTCTAATTCAGCGTGTATACAGTAGCCGCACCCACTTATGACTCTTGACGTGTTTGCGTTTGTCTGTAGAATGTTGAGGACGTGAGGTCGAGCGTAAGATGCCACCAGCGACAAGTGCACTCTAGTGTTCCCTTTTGGTTCGCAAGGCTGGTACTTACAATGGTGGACGAGAAATAAGAGTTGAGAGCCAGTGTCAAGCACAGTTCCACGTATCCAGAGTGAGAGATAAGCACCTCCAAAGATCGCCAAAGAGGAAATCCTGTCTTTTCCAGCCCACGCTTAAATTACGCACTTTTCTGTTGCGCTATTTATTTATTTACTTTATTTTCTTCTTTTCTTTCTCTGTGATTTTGGTAAGATAAATAGTTTGAATAAAGATGTGTATGTGGGCTGCACTGCAGTGATGAAGCCAATTGAGGAGGATGGAAGGGCAATTCAATTGTCATCGTCCTCGTCGTTGAGATCGAAAGTTCAACGACTCCATTGTAGGAGTGAAAAGGAACAAAGCCAAGTGCCACGAAGTGAATCGCTGTGCTTCAATCTATTGAAGTTGTACTCTCTTAGCATACCCATTAAACTTTTTAATTCAGAATTATCGTACTTTTTGTGGCCTCCTTTTCAGCTCGCTAAAAGAGTTTTGAGGAACAAAAAATTGTTTCGTACTACGTTGCTTGATTATTCTCCGCCAATGAGATTTTCTCTTAATTAAAAGAAAAACCCTTTGAAAATGAAGCTCAGTGCAATCGCATACTATCAGCTGCGAGAGCGAAAGTCGATGTAAAAAGAAAGCGTCCTGTCTCCAAGTAATGAAACTCTGAAATATAACTAGTCGAGAATTTGTAGTGCGAAGCCGAGCGCATTTTAGAGACACTCAGTTCTCTTGGACAAGATTGTGAGAGAGGAAGAGATCAAGCCCGCTTCGTCGATAATTGCACGACGATAATGACTGGGAAAGTAAGTGAGACTTTGGATCCTTCATCCTCTCCTGTGAAGAGTTTCTTACCTTGGCCATATAGTATAGGAAGGAGCCACACTGTTACTGAATTTACACCGACTTTTAAAGTGCCGTGTAATTGTAAGGTGCGAACAATTTGTACGCCCTCGCAAGCCAGTCAGCCGTTGTGACTCCGAGCGCTTAGTTAGGTAAAAACTTTTGGTGACGTTGGGCAGAAGCTACTGAAAAGGATAGCTCTAACTTATTTCACGCACTTGGGAGAAATTCATTAATCGTCACAACGACTGCTTTATCGTGAGACATACTGCTTATGTAAAATGAGAAGAGAACCATTGTATAGATGCGGTTCAATTAATAGCGTTGCATCACTTTGATGACTAATGCATTTTATATGTTACACGGTTCCAATCAATCATTCGACTTGATGTATGATTGTTGTCCGATGAGGGCGAAATATGGAGTCCTCTCAGTTCTGAAAACGTGCGATTATCGGAAAAAATTTTCAAGCTGAGAAACTCTGTGAGTCAGATAACAAGACAAAAATGGTAGTGCAAAAAAATAAAGACAGAGATAGAAGCAGTATAAAAGGATCAGTGCCCGGAAGTGATAGATAATCTATCTGTAGATGCATCTAGAGCTTTAAGTTGTCGTACTAAAGTGGAGGACCGGTTTCGTTTTGCTATTGCTTTTACGCTTTTATTGACTTGTGCTCCTTTCTTCCTAATTATTCTACTATGACTATTATTATAATTACTTTCTCTTCCCGTCCTCCCCGAGAATCATTGAAGCTCAGTCTCGATTACTCGGAGATAAATATAGAGCAAAATATACATCCACTTGATTTGGACGAGTGCTGTGCCAAGATGATTACTATTTTAAGGCGCATCGACTGCAAAATGAGCACTTCAATCTTTCTCCCGAATTAGTAAATTTGAGAATCACATCAATTGCTCATTTGTGAACTAAATCAGCGAAAGATAGACAAACGTTTACGCTCATCAAAAGTCGGAATAACCCAAGCAACGAAAAAAATTAATTCTTTTAATTAACGTTTCGAGAAAAGTTTGACTGCTCGCGCTTAAAATGTTTACACGCGGTATTTAGAGGTTGAAAAATCTACCAGCACATTTCTGGGTTCACGCCTGTGCGTCTGACGTGATGGCACTAACAACAACTCACGGCGACGTGTACTGGCGTCCAACTTTTGGAATTTCATTAGCGAGCCGCAATGGGTAGTACCTACGAGTAGTAGTCGTAGCAGCGAAACGGCCAGCCGGATGTCAGGCGCGCGTTGTGTCGGACTGGTGTGTCGTAGAAGTGCTAGAGATGGACAATGGTGGTAGTATGGTATATAATAGTTGTCTTTGGCGTCGTCGTGCTTGAACAGGCTTTACGAACGCTTGACCGAGCAATTCCTCGAGTGCCGTTCGTACCAAGCGGATATAGATACTCTCGAATACTCCTGTGTATGCACGTGTACATCCTCTTGGAATAACGACCAGGCTAAGTATATGAGCGAGCAATCGAATCGCTAAGTGCCACTTGTCGCGTTCCCTCTTGCTCTCAAGGCGAAGTAGAAGAAGGAACAAAAAGAAGAAGATAAACAAGTGAAGGAGGAAGAGGATGCATGGAACTATGGCAGCGTAATGTGTGCCTAAAAGGAAAGTTTCGACCTTTCTAGCTGCTTCTCTTCCACGTATAAGCACGACTTCGTATGTGTAACGCTTTGACCTGCAGCATTTTTACCTCTCTTGTTGTATTCCTGCTTGGGATGCACAAATAGCAAAAGTTGGGATATCCCACACAATTACCGGGAATTCCTGGAATCGAGAGATAGGAGTAGCGTCTGCTGAATTGGACGACTTGAGTGGGCGTAGGAAAAATCGGGAGTGCATATGGAGTAGTTAAGATAGACTTACCTTGTAGTTGGACAGGTCATTGATGACGCAGGAGAATATGGCCTCTCGGCCCACTGGTACGGTCACGTTTTGTATTGGCTCGGTGAAGACTGGACCCTCTGAAACACACACAAGGACAACATATTATGTTTTATAAGTTTACACTATTTGTCTCTATACATCATGGTACGTGCACGCATATATTGTATTCCTAAGAAATTATTTTATACGTGTATTCGCATCAGTGGCGACACGATAGCATCAGACCCAAATCGCTTCTCTCGATTTCACGCCATCAAATCCAAAAGAGTCACGCAGCCAAGTTAAATCATCCGAGACTGAGCAAACTTTCCAGGAAAGGCAGCGGCAATAGTAACCACGTGAGAAATAGAGCATCACGAAAAGCTCCTCAAACAGTTTCATGAGCACTGGCTCGAGCTCCTCCGTGGCAAACAGAAGCTTGATATATACAGTCAATCGTTTCGGTGTGATCAAAAACAGTTCTGCTTGGAAGTAAGAACTCTAGTATAATCCACGAGTTCTCGATCGAGGTAGCATAGCTGGTAAGCTTGCATAGCCCGCGAAATAAGCACCAAACCCAATTATACATTGGTAAAGCTCGCGAGGTGGATTCTTAGAGAATGGAGAGGGGGAGGCCTCGAGCGGATCGTGGATTATTGACTTTGCCTCGATTACCGCGACCGGAAGGTTTCGATCGCTGCAGTGAGACTCTACTACGACCTTTTCCCCTGTGATGTATACAATGCCTGCACTTCCGACGACGTTCACGCTTCGGGGAGCCCATTCACGCATATGACACGCTTGGTTTTTTACAGAGGGTATAATCCCACGTACTTGGGGTTACTCTCACGTGTGCCCCTGCTTCTACATATTTCTTCTTAAATAAAACACGAAAGGGAAGACTTCATGCTCCTGAGGGGCAAAAAGGTGCTATGAACTTGACCTCCATTCATAAATCTCTAGAACATTATTTTACTCTTTTTTTTTTTACTACGTAAGGTTCCTGTTTGTTCTCAACGATGTTCTGTAGCTTCGAAATAGGTACACCGTGAACATACATATAAATCATTCTGTATTGCAGTTTCTGGACCATGAATAACCACCAAAAATAATTATGTTAAATTGAAAAACGCTAATCAGTGAACCAAGGAACCAAAATCAACCAAATGGTGGATCGAACAAAGGTTGGTGAGCAGAGATATGATGGTTGGAAAAGAGTCTAACTGCGGTAGGACAAACGGGGATAAAAAAAAACTTAATTTATATCAGAGTCTACAGCAACCACTGGGGCAATCGACCAGGTAAACGTCGACTGCCAAGTGGATAACGAGTCATATTTGTGCGAGCTTCTCTCGTGAGATTGCGATATGGGCGTGGGTTGTTTTCCCTGTTGGTAGTCTGGTTGCACGAGTATATGAGACGAGCACGCGACGGAGTAGGTCGACGATGCGGTACAGTCGATGCTGCTATCGATTGGCTCTCCATACCCCGCAGGGATTTTCTTGTGTCTACTAGTCAGGGGTTACGTGATAAAATGCACAACTCTCTTTGGGATAGACGTGTAAGTACGTTTTTGCACATGCGCTTAGTTTAATACATTTTTTTACTACAAGCGATTTTAGAAAATAACATCCCTAAAGTTTTGTAGTTTTTTGTTTTTCCGTACATCAAAATGTTGTTTGATAACTAAATTGTCAAACTTCTGACGAATGTTAATGCATGTAGTGAGCCACACGAAATACACTTGGATCAATTATGTAGTTCTAACGTTGGACAGAGCGCTGAGAACGTGATTTCCCCCAACAACACTCCCGAAAATCGGAACACTTCCTCTCGTCGCACGGACCATCAGCGCAGAAGCAGCACAAGCACCAGTTAACTCCGACAATTTGGTCAAAGCGCCGTTTCCGAAAATAGCACGCCCAAACTTGCTCGACTGGACACAGTTCGTGTGCAATTGTTCCCTCCGTCACGCGGCTGGGCGCACAAAAACTAGCTCGAGCGTCGTGTCCGTATGCACCAGCGTGAGCCGTTTTTCCCATCCTTTGTGCTCTTCTCTCTTGTCGTGGTGTGATTTTGGGTCGTTTCCCCTTTCATCAAGCCTGTATACTACTATCATTGCTGTACCGACACTACTTTTATAGAATCTGATACTGCTTTTGTGGTAAAATTCCTTCAAAATGTTTCGCTTGATCAGAACTTGGGTTGTGCAGCGTAAAAAGAGAGGTCACCGGTTTTGGGAGAAATAAAATTTATCGATCCTGAATGTTATGCAAGGAAGAATTCATCCACAGAAAGCGTTAATTAAAAAAAAAAACTGTGATTTTCTCCAAATGAGTTGATAACAAAAATTTTTTAAATAATTTTGTCTCTCAAACATAGAGATAAATTTGTTTAGTGTTTTCGTGTCAAAAATATCACCTGAGCTGTTATTTTCCAGTAATATCAGAAGTTTAAAATTCAGGATAAGCTCGAGTAGACAGCTCAAGGAAAGTTGAATTTGCCCTGCAATCTACTTAAATTTGCAAAAACTGCATAAGACATTGAACTTTTCAAACACCATACACTCCTGCTCACTCTGTGTTGACGGTAGTAGTAGAGTAGTAGCAACAGGATGTAGACGTCTCTTGGGGCTCTACGGCGTGGCGCGCGATGAATGTGCCATAAAAATTTTGAAAACGCTGTACAACATTTTATACGTATAAGTATTGACTAATTTAAGGTTACACATGCGGTTAGTTTTTTTAAGACCCAAAAGCTGCCCACATGGATAGGGATGCACTGCACCATAAAACTCCCGTTTTTTTCGAGTTTCCTAGTCTGCTCATTCAAACACAGTTTTTCAGAATAACAAAATTTTGAGAAACTAAGATTTTCCCGGTATAAGATGCAGCAGCAGCAGCAGTAGCAGCAGCAGCAGCTTGGCGTCTTAAAACTTTCCTCATAATCCAGCCAAAAGCGGATTTTGAAAAGAGCAAAAGAGAGGGAGAGGGAGAAGCTGGGCCAACGAATAAGTAGGATAAGGGGAAGGAGAGGTGGTTCAGAAAGATATCTTATATATATCTTGGGATTTGAAACGACGGGACCATCTGGAGCTTCTCCAATTACTATATAATACGAGCTAAGCGGTGCGAGGGCCGGGAGGCGATGAAATTACGCTGGATTTAAGGCCGATTAACGGGCCGCGCTTGCAGCGAGCTTTCGCTTTCGTTCTCTTCTATCGTTTCCCTTGTGGCACATAACATTAGCTAGCTGCTGCTGAAAAGGTGACCTATACTACAGAGGAGAGCAAAGGCCGTTGATGAAAGGTGCTTTTTGGGGATCGCCTCGATTGGCTCCTCTAGGGCTCGCTGGGCATTTTTTATAGCCGAGGCCCTTTGTACGCCCACGATTTTAATCTGAGTGATGAACGCTACTGGTTGCTTTATTTATTTTCCAAGTGTAAGTATCCTTCGGAAACGAGAGGTATTTCTCTGGTGATTACGAGGCTTTTGTGGCAGGATGTATGTACTCACTGTGAGAAACGGAGTTTTCAAAACAAACTTCACTCCTTTTTTTTCACAGTTCTTGTTTATATTTTAATTGGATTACTGCTTTTTTTTCCTGCCATTAGTGTGCAAATTTTGCAACAAAAAAACTTTGTGACAATGCGTATTATATAATCAATCCAGCTCTTCACGATATTAATATTTTTTCCGTCGTTGACGACAAATAAATCCCTACTATCTGTTCGTCGTCAGAGTCAGATATTTTCAACCTATAATAATTCTATAGGTGTCGATTGACAGTCACGTATACGTATCGTATCGTATACGATTTTATTAAAGCAATACCCACGTCAGCATTCTTATGAAGTCAGCCTTCAGTTCCCATGGATCCCTAGCAATACAAAAGTGCGTACCTTCCCCGCAACAAGTACAGTTCGTCATTTTGCTTTCTTTGTGCTTTAACACAGCACCAGAACAGTAGTAAAAGGGAGCGACTGCCGTCAGGCAAATGAGAAGCGCACAGAGGCCAATGACGAAGCTCGCGGATCTCGCTTCTCCCACGCTCGTGCAATTTTCTTTTGTCAGATGTCGTTCTTCGTTGGCATACCTACAACCTGCGCGCACATAGTTACGTGCAGATTACAGTGTTCTTATTCTCGTGCTATTTTTAGAGTGTCTTTTGATGAAACTCTTTTTTGCATATTGTTCGCACGTATGCGTTGGTGAATTGCATTAATTGTACTCATGTGATAGTGTAATAGTTTGGTATTCCTTGATGTACAGTTTTTCTATTCGTCGATACCGAATCAAAATGATTTGGATCGTATTTCTCATGAAACTACCTGAGTATCAGATAAATCATTAATCATAAATTTAAATTGCAAAAATGCTCAACAAGCCCACAATTCACGTAATAATAACGGCAAAAATGATGAGCCAACGGCCATAGCAGTAAAATTTGAGATAAAATCGTTTTCAAAGAGCTGCGAGTTTTTTAAAATAAAGTTTTATCGTCGAGCTTTTTAGTAAACGGCATTGCAGTGAAATAAAGATAACGGCTGCCACTTTGTTTTTATGTTGCGATAATTTCTGTATCGTAAAAAAAGCGATAAAAAAGTTTAAAAAAATTAAAATTACATCATGGCACAGATTGAAAACCTATATTTCAAAGAAATAGCGATGTTGCAGCGACTATAAAAATATTAACTCTGCCGAAGCTCATTTCCACCCCCATTAGGAATTAAAAATCCCTCACTTACCGCGCTCAAGAGTCCACCGGTTAGCTCAACAGCAAAGTCCAGCGCATTTTCCCGTTCAAACACCTTACCCCTCATCCTCCTCCTCGTTCTCTCTTCACTTCCTTTTAACTATGCGCCAAGAAAAGAAGGCACGTATAAAATGCAGCAGGGGGCTAAAGGCTGCAACCCCCTCTGGCACTTGCAGCTCGTCACCTAGGGAAACCTTTTCATCACGCGTCACGTCTTAGTATTTATATACCTTTGAGCTGCTGCTACTACCACTACTGAAGCTTTCTTTAGCTTATAGGTACATTGAACCTGTAAACACAAAAGTGAGGGGAGTAGGGAAGGGGGTAAGATTGCGTACAAGAG